CACTTACTGTTCTGCCATCTATTCTTACCAGCATTAAACGCCTGGAAATAAACTTGTTAAAACCAGTCTCCTGGCTGAAATGTGAGAGAAGTGTAGGAATCCATTAAGCTGCTTAAACTTTACTAGAATAATACTTGCTAGGTATGAAGCACCTTCCCTTCAGGACTGGGCCTAGTACTGCCTAAACTTGATCATGCTAATCTCACAAATACTATAGCATGGCAGGTACGTATCGTTTCTTCAGGTTGCTGAGACACAGACAAATAACGTGCCCCCAAGTAATACAAGACCCAGAAATAAAACACAGCCTTTATTTATTATACAGAAATTAGGGAGTAAATTGCAAATGACTGTTTGCCTCTCCCTAAGACTGCCACTGCCTAGCAATGATTGCCAGATAGGATAAACATCATTAACTGTAAAAAGTTTAACGTCTAAAAGATGTTAGGAGTGCTGATATGCAGTCTTGAGGTGTCTCCGTACTATTTTAAAATATTACCTGGCTTTGCATTTTAGGTCTAAGAGTAGTCCCAGCCTTGCCCATGGCACGCGTATGCACACTCGTATGTATATAATGGAATTTGTATTGCAGCGCTGCTATAATTATGTGTAGTAGGGAAATGCTTCTGCAGCCAAAATAAAAATTAGAAATCTTGCACACCACATGCAGAAGCTTCTCAGGAAATCATTTGAGCTCACTCTTCCTGTCAGGCTGGGGAATGTGCCTCTTTATTTCCCCTGACAGAAAACATATCACCTCATCAGCAGCCCTAAAAAACGACAGAACATCCCCGCGGAAAAAGACTGACTGCCAAACGCTTTCACTGCCACTGCAGCAAGGGGGACAAGGGAGAGGAGGGCCGGGCTTCAGAAATTTCAGGAAGGTAGAATAATTTACCTTGCTTCTTGTAGAGTCCCACTGTTACGCCTTGTATTGCTGCAAAGCGTTCATCTCGTAGTCAAGGTGTGACCCTTGAAGAATTAATTTGAGCCAGAGGGTACAAGGCTGTTTAATTCTAAAAGAATAATTTATACTCCTGAATCTGGATAGCGTGAAAATCTCTTACAGTGTTTGAGCCAAGGCAAACATCTCGATGCAAAATCTACACCTGCAGATCTTTTACATATTTAAGTGACAGAACAAATGTGGCTCAGTCACATACTGTGCTGTGTGCATTAACCTGTAGCGGTGGTAATCTCATTTGAAGTTACTGTGCAGTTTCTTAAAGGCGTTTTAGTACTACTAATAACAAAATTGGAATTTATTGAAATATTTGCTACTGCGATTTGGCTTAAATGAGTAAGGTATTTTAAATAAACCTCAAAATTCTCCTGAATCATTGCATTTCTGAATCGCACACAATTATATTCAGAGTCTGTTTGTCAAACAATACATCAGGACAGAGGATCTTTATAGACAATTATTGTAACATTTATCATTACTTCAGTATATTTGTATTGCTGGGCTTTTTTTCTTTTCCTTTTTATAAACCAAAATTATGATGAGATAAGAACATTTTAGCATCACTTTGCGTATTTGTGGGAACTCTTGCACCAACGTATTTTTCCCCACACTAAAGGAGTAACTTCATAAGTCAGAGTGACAGAGGTCAATGGTATGTATATATGTAAGCACACTACCTCTGATAAATGTACTAACAGTGTATTTTTATATAAATATACTACAATGGACCAGCTTCCTATTACAGTGAAATTACACAGTCAGATAGAGGACTGCGTAATTCACATTGCTGCGTGAATGGTTCTAGTTCTCATGTTGCAAAGATAATTTTCAAGCTGCGAACCTGGTGGAAACTGGTGCTGTCATGTCTGCATTAAGTGTTTGGAGAGCCTGAAACTCAAGCCTGGAGAGTTTTGAATGTCTCTTTTTTTCATTTTGGTGGGGATTAGACTCTTGGCATGTAGCGGAGTAGAACGCATTGGAATAATTCAGGGTTTCCAAGAGTTGCTGAAGTGATGATGAAATCTATGGCTGGAGGTTTTTCTGTCATATAGCTGGGTGGTCATCTGCTGTGTGACAGAAATGGTCTCCATTTTTTATTTGTGAGATGGACATCTGGCAATCATTTGGCTAAAAGAGGAGCCAGAGAACTTGGGAAAGA